ATCAATATTTTTACACTTTTTTGGAACCTTTTAATATTTAAAGTTTGGCCACAAAACTTTAACGGTTTGAGAACTTTGATCCTTTTTCTAAAAAGTTGTTAATTCCTACCCCTTTAATTTTTTAATCATTTTGACACTTCTGGTCCTTGCAGTCAACATTTTTACATTTTTTCATAAAAACATGAAAAAAACGGTCTGGAGCAAAGTCCGAGCTTTTCATCCTTGCACTTTCTACGTCTGTCATATTTATCGATTCGGAAACAACATTGAAAGCTTCTGGCCCCCACGTAGCGAGGTAACCTTTCTAGTATATATTAAGATTCTGAAAAGTTTTAACAGTAAAACGGAGAATCTTTGTCTCATTTGGTCCATGTAGTTGTGATTCCTGGCCTATTTGTTTTAGGAGGTCATATTTTGCAGTTTTCTATATTTTGTGTACACAACATTCTGTACAGGTGTTGTTAGTGGCTACGTGTTGTCCGCCTTTGCTTCACCGCCTTCTCATCCAATAGGATTCGGATTTTTGTACTTCTTCCCCTTTTCGTAACCGACCTCCTTTTTTATCTGTGTTTTTATCGGTCGCTTCTTCTGTAGATTCTACCTCTCCGTTAAACCTGAAAATGGTCTCACCACCACCGTCCTACACACGATCGCTCAACACCAACTCTGTCTCTTCCATTACTCACCGTCACACAACCGCCTCTTTCTTCTCCCAATTGCATCCAAATGTAAAGTCGATTATCAGCTGCTAGCGGTAACCTTAATGGTTGTTTTATTTTGATATTTGTTATCTGTTAATTCCATTGTCGAAACCTACTCCTTCTTCGACTCACCTACCTATCGCCTCTCCCTATCTCTCTCTATGTATATTACAGAAAGAGACACGTACAAACAGACATAGTCGAAAAACGAAGCAGATCAGATGGTTCACTTTTTGGTTTCGTTGGTGGAGATGCTGTCAGATGAGCAAAATCGAAGTGGTAAAGTGACACATTCGGTAACTTCCAGTTGTTCCCTCCTCTGGTATAAATACCAACAACTGGTGTATACGAAGCTAGGGGTTTATATTCTGAACCAACTCAGGGAAACCCGAATCGATTCGCTATCTTGATTTCCGACACCGTTTCCTGTGGCTTCTTTCAATCAAAGCCAATTCCCCGTAAGTATTCAACTTCATCTCCTTTTTATATTTGCTTCAGTGATTCCGGTTAAAGTCGTTGCCTCCTGCAACAGGAAGGGATTTTATTTGGGTTTATAACGCCTCAAAACGACTCACCCACAATCTGACGATGTGCTGGTTCGTTTTTCAGTGGTAGCCATCGTGGGTTAACTATTACTTATCGTAGGCTAATCAAAACTGAGAATTTTTCATTTTTTCAACGAATTTATTTGTTCTCCTTAATCATCACTTCTGTACTCAGTTGATTACCTATTTCACTTAGTTTTTTTTATATCAATTTTTGGATTAGTTGATTCAACTATCAATATCTTACTTGGTCCATGATATGTACATGTTGAAGACGGGAAACATGGGAAAGTGCTTTTTTTTGTTATCAATGTCTTTTGCCCAACAACCCTCAAATCAACTTCATTTAACACCAGTCTGATCCAGAATTGAGAGTTTGAAATGAATTTTATCCAATTCTTCCATTACTGAACTTTTTTTTTTTTATTTGTAGGAAATCGGAGGTCTTCTACATGTCCCATTTGGCATTGTGTATTATTGAAAAGTTGAATATTTCAACCAGGTATGTCACCATTTTTAATTTGATTCAATTCTGTCGTTAGATTTTGATCTCTGGAATCATTGATATGTGTTTAGGTCCATTAGTTAATTTTGGGCTGCTATCAGCTGTGCAAATGGGAGCACAAATATGAATAGCCAATCGAGGTTTGTTATAATTTTATATTCATAAATTTGTTACCTTAATCTGATTGTTTTACATGTATCATTTATGTATTAAGTTTATTTCGTCAATGTTTCTACTCTATCAGTTCATCACATGCCGTTTTACAATTACCGAATAAATATGACCAAGAGTGAATCTATAGTGTTTGGCTAAAACTTCTCTTAGTTCTGACAAAGAAGATCATGTTGAATTTAGGAATATAAGTGATCAGCTAAATATCCTCTGTCATCACGAAGATCTGTTAATAAAAAAACGAAAAATCTGCTTAAAATGCTTCTTTTTTCAAGAAATTATATTATATATAGGTGGTTGTTTTAAAGGAATCTTGAAATGCAAAATAAAATTATTGTTTGAAATGTAAATTGAACTTGTACCTAATTTTGTCCCAACGGGTACTACTGGAAGTCTGGGACATTTGGTTTAAACCGTCGAAGTTCAGGCATCCATTGTATGAATAGTCAAAGATGACTTTATTAGTGAAAGTCAACTTTTGATTTTGTAAATTCAATCTTTTTTTGATGGACTGAATTTTCTGTGGTCAACAAAGGATTACGAGGATGATAATTGAAGGCTACACAAATGTTGTCAAATGTTGACTTTGGGTTTACTGTGAGTATATGTGTAGTTGCTTCTGATGGAAATGACGCCATTGTGGGAGAGCAAGATGGTATATTGCATATGTATCCAGTGGAGGGAGATATTCTTTCAAAAGAAGTTGCTATTGAAACAACTTTTGATTCTAAAATGAGACTTCCAATGGCTTTTACCTGGAATCAGTTTTACCTAACTTCAAATGAGTAAAATCACAAAAACGGAAAACTTTTACTTAAATGGTTAGAATGACCAAAATGGTCAAAATACTTTCTTTTTTACCTATTATTCCATGGTTGACTTGCCCAAAACGTTATTTTTATTCTGTTTTAGCTATTGGATATGAGTAATTTTACTAAAATGGTCATTTTGACCAAATTGGTAAAAATTAAATTTAAATGCTTACAATTACCAAATTGGTTAAAATACTTTCTTTTAACATGGTTTGACTAACAAAAATATATATATATTTTTTTATTTTGTTTAACTAGATTGATATGGGAAAATGACAAATGGTTATTTTCACCAAAATGACCAAATTGGTCATGACCAAAATTAACGTATCTGCTAAAAATGATTTCATTTTTACATATTATTATGCCATGGTTTAATTCACCAAAAAATATTATTTTAATGTATTTTTTTTGGATTTATGGGTAAAATAAAAATGTAGATGGCTTGATTAAAAAAATGACGTGATCATTTGTGTGTTTTTTTTTCCATATAGGGATTTAGTTCTCATGTGGCTAACACCATTCCTACAAC